TCGACTCACAATGAACGTACTTGATGTGAACCACAAATCTGCTGAACTTTTTGTGCTTCTTTTTTATCATTTTTCAATCTGAATCAACAGAGAATCGGCTGTGTAAATTATAAATTGAGCACGAAAAGTTACCTCATAGTATACCTAAACTCTGACGAGTAGAGTTAGTCACCAACTTGTCAATTCTATAAATTTTGCCAACAAAATAAATTGATGGAAAAATAAAATGTATATATTTTGCTTCGTCACTTCCATTTTTAGATTTTATATACGTACATTCATAATGAAAGTTTGAACCTTGACATTTCAATAGAAAACTATATTCAAACGAGCATCTGAAAACATTAAGAAAGTATTTGGTTTCCAGAAATAAGGAATATATTAATTTCAATGAATGGAGACGGAACGAATGTTTAATACAATAATGTGGTCAATAAATATCGTACAAATCATTATAAAATTACGTGTATTAATTTTGACGGAATTACAGACAAATTGAAGCATGTTGAAGCATATAAACAAAACCTGTGTTGTATATTATATATGTTCGATGTTTAAACTTTTTTACTACATTTGTCACTGTCCCAATGTAACAATGTATACATGTGAATTGCATTGTTAAATTTTTTCCAACGTGTTTGAAGTACGTTCCCAGACTTTTTCTCTGCAATAAATGAATCAAAAATATCAAGACGAACGATAAATTATCCCAGAGGAAAGGTTTTGGAACCGCTGTTACGACTTATGTTCACTTATGACCAAGATTTTCACCAATTCTAATCTGTTTGTGACTCCTCTTTGATGTCCTAATTTGTGATTTCAATATGTGATATCATGTTTGCACAATCTTTAGTCACTATTAATAGTATATGTAATTTTTACCTGTAGTTCTCAAAAAGTTGGAATTTCAAAAGCTGTCGCTTGAAATAGCTGAATCCTGCGGTGCAGCCATTTTTTTATATAGGCACATGAACGTTGAAACAAGAGTGTTTCGAACTTGACAATACCCTCATCAGTGATGGATGGTTTTGTGTGCAAAGACTCACTCGAAAATGTTTATAAGGGTTCGCTAAAGAGGCAGTTATATCAAAATATTTCACCTTTGATTATAATATACTAAACAATCATTTTCTTCAAACTGTTAATAAGTTCAAATCAAGGTGGGATAAAGTTTGAGCTTTATTTTTCGTGATCTATTTTCATCAGAGATTACGTATAACTTCTCAAATCGATTTAAATTTTAGGATGCCTCAAAAATCATTTTTGAGTACCTACCACATTCCAACTTTTGCCAGATATTCTACTCACTCTTTTTGATTTATCCCACCCTATATAAATAATGTGCGATATGTGAATATTGTAAGATGCAAAAATAGTCCAATAGTACATAGGCATATCATATTTCAAATTCCAGCTTAAAAAAAATTAAACCTAAACACTAAAATATAATATTGCTCTTCTAGGGAATAGCAATCTAAGTAGTTTAACTATAGTCGAAACTGTTATGATCTTGTGAATATACACTATATCTTGTTGAAAAGTTGCTGAAAACATTTCTCAATAATTGTTTTTTATCTAAAATCTGCTCAGCTTTGAAAATAATATATGCAGAGGGTTCGTGAAGATAGCGTGGGCTAATTGGATCATTAGAAGGAAATGTCCAACAGTTTTGAAGAGTCATGCTCCACGAATAATTTCAAGGTCGTTGGGCCCCTCGTTGGGCGCCACAATTTTACTTGTTGTTCTACACGAACAACCTGCATATACATTCCAAAAGTATACTCGATAGTGTCATCGTTTACAATCATCAAGAAGTGATATGTTGGAAAATCTGTAAACGAGTTTCTACAATGAGTCATCAAGTACAATTTCAAGTTTTTTGTGTAATTTCTTGAATCCTATCGAAAGACCATCTTGTAATATGAATATTTTCTAGAATTTTTGTATTTTTCTAGCAGTGATCCTCCAGTGAAGTATCAGATTCAACGAAATTTGCAAGAGAGTAGTTGTAAGTAACTCTTCTCGAAGAGGTTAAAGAAATCTAAATTGATTGTTGAAGGATTTACAATATAGTGCGTTTAAAACAAAATGGGTCGGGTGATTTTTTTCTGTTCAACCTTGTAGACAATTCTCGAAATTACAGATTCTCATATGTAAAATAACTGTTCCTCAACTAATTCTCAAAAAATAGGGTTTTGTTACGTCACAAGTAAAGATAAATAGTCAATTGTCAGTTGTCAATTGAATCTACTGACCAGAGAAATATGTTACTGAGTTCAAATAGTGCTACAAACCAATTGAACTCAAGTAATGGTAACTTGTTAGTTGACCACTCATACAAAAAGATCATGAGACTTTCTCAATGAATTTCAACGAAACAATAATGAATCGAATACAAAAAACAACGTCAAAACTCAAAAACGTTTTGTTACATAACCCTCAATTTGGTGACAGAGCTCAAAAATAAGAGAGAAAAATTATTGAAAATTCTTCCAAACTATTTAAAAATGTAATCTCAAATCTTTTCAAAAACAGAAAGTGATACTTTTTCTATGTCAAGATAACACGAAAATATAACCTTGGAGAAGTTTCCATTTTCTTGTGTCATTTCGTAAACAAAATGGAGTTCATTATTCATTTAAGATTCGTTTGAAATCTTTGATATACTGGAGGATCATTTATTTTCTTGTGGCGATACATATCTTCTATACAAAATAGACCTTTTCATGAATGAAAATTTTCGTTTTATAACTGCTACGTTGTGTAATATCAATATTTGAACCAAACCGTCTAGACAAATGAATGTATACCAATGATAGGGCCGTCTTAGCTTCATTTGCTTCGGTAGAGCTGAAATAACTTTTCTTCTAAAGTAATGCCTTCAGTTCTCTTCCTTCTGTATATTAGAAAACACTTCAACGTAGCGTGTAAGGTACCGGAAAATTTTCGTCGTCGATGGCATTGATTATTTATTTTGTCCATTGAATAGGCCCGCCTGCGATGAAAACGATGAAAATGATTTTTTTGTAAATGCATTCGTCATAGGTATATAAAAGAGATAAGATTGTTAATGGTGTATCCTGTAGATTGTTATTGCTAGAGAATTTTTATTATTATAGTACTTGTAATATTAATGAAGCCATATCATGGTATGTTACTTTTTGCCGACAATATAATATGTATAAATGAGGTTTTCGTTTCAATTCAGCACCTCAAAAACAACAAATGCATTGAATCCAAATAAAGGATTTCTCAGTAGCTAGATCTTCCACTCATATAGTGATTTTTAAGTTTCGGAAACGATTAAAAAAGTGTGAGAGATGTAGATGTTGTTACTAGTTAACAATGCAAGTTATTTGAACTAAAATCATCTGAATTAAAGATAATAACATCGAGAGAAAATACTAGCCAAAAGAAATCCCCAGTGTATATGAAAAAAGGGCAGCATTACTTGTTACGTTTCAAATGATTGAAATATGAAAATGCCACAAATAGAATGTGTGGCACCGCCAAAATTATCACATATATGGAGTGTTCCGTAATTACAGCATCAAATTAAAGATGGTTATTCCTCTTAATGAATAACCCAGAATTGTTGAATATTTTTAAGGGTGTCATCGATAAATAATTTCAAGGTCGTTCAGCCCCTCGTTGGGCGCCACAATTCTACTAGTACACGAAAAACCTGCGTATACATTTCAAAATTAAATTCTATATGTTGAAAAATCTGTAAACGAGTTTCTACAGTGAGTCAGCAACTAGATCATCAACTCATATAGTCGTTCCAAGTTTCTGAAACAATCAAAAAAGTATGGAAGATGTAGATTTTGCTAGAAATAACAATGCATTCTTTTAATGATATTCAAATCATCTGAATGCAAAATAATAGGATTGAGAGAAAAAAGAGTATTTTAGAATACTGTTTGGTGCTAAAAAGTGAAATTTCAGTTTAAACTCAACAGGAAAAGTTTTTTTTGTATAATTCAATGTTCATATGAAAATTGTCGTTTTGGAAGTACTCTTTCTTCCATGTGATTCAATTTTTACATGAAAGTAACTAATTGTTTCTAGATAGCTTTGTCTTCCAGATTGTGATCAGCCGGAGAAGTAGTTGTTTTTCGAAATATTCATTTTTTAATACATATGTATGTATACAGATATTTCAAATTCTGAAAAACGAGTTAGTTCTCTGTATTGTATAGCGAGTTTCCAGTTGAAGGTGATAATTTCAATCATTGTAACCCATATATAAAAAATACTTATTAATAATGTCCCACCAATGAGAAGGTTGTAATGACAATTCGCTCCTTATATGTCAAGAATGCCTTACAAGTGTCTAAAATATATCAAGAGACAGGGGGCAGATGACATCTGCTGCTACGTAACAATAACCTAATAAAGAGATTGGCTCCAGATATTTCATCATAACTGCGACGAGTATCGCATTAAAGAGTCTATCAATGAAGAAGTCTCAAAGCATCGCTGACAACTACCTCTGGAGCCCGCAGTTCAGAGCCCTTACGTCTGCCTCTTCCAAACTACGGACGCCAAGTTCCAACTGTCGCAAGACGTTCATCTGAAATGTACTGAACGCAGCCAATTCCATAGAACCACTTCTATTCTGTGTTAATCAAAAATAGGTTTGTTCGTATAATACAAATCTGATCGCTCGGTTAGCTCGATTCGCTCGGTTCATTTGGGAAGAAATCAATGTAGACAAGATCTCAGAAAATAAATGAGGAATTCTTATGAAAGTTGTGTCTGCACGGAGTCCGATTGATTCAACTTCTGACTTTGACAAAATAATCCGAATTATGAAAACCTAATGGATTTTGTTTCAGCACAACTGTGTTAAAGAATATCTAATGTTAATTGTTCGATTTATTACGAAATGAAATGTAGATGTCACAAATGAGAAGAAGAAACTGACATGTGGGCAATATCGACCCCTTTTGGGCACTATTTTCACTACAGTTTGGTACAATTGAAAATTCCTAAATAACAGCAGTGACTGCATTAGTTATTCAATAATTGACAGGTCTTGAAGGTCGTCTGGTTGAAGAGTTAATATTTGTTTTTTCCTATTTTTCCAGTAATGGACGTTCCTATTCTCAAAGAGCACCCTGAAATAGATAGTGGTGAAGGCAGAAATTCTCATTCAGGTCCAGAGGTGAGTATGGTACCTACAGGCAAGCCTTTGTTTCTCAGTTCATTTTGAGAGACAGCAACACAGTGAAAGTATCAAGTGAAAGAACCAAACTATCAATTCAGGTCAACATTCATTACCGTTAAGTAGAGCGAGGTGTTTCACTCTTCAGTTACACCCGAACCTTCACACTGACCAGTTAATATGATTTTGCAGGTAGAAACTGACCTCCATCAAGGAGAAAAAATGTCGTCGGAAAATTCTGATTATGATAGCGCTGACAGCTACAGCGATGACCCGAATGTGAAAATCCGATCCAGGGCTTCTGATGAGCACTCCAACTCTGATGCTGGTAGCGTTACTTTGGAGCGTGAAGAAGGAGATGGACAGGAGAGTGTCCCTTCCAAGAAGGTCGATGATGATGAGGACAAGAAAAATCCCCAGTATATTCCCAAGAGGGGGACTTTTTACGAGCATGATGATCGTACTGCAGAAGATGAGTAAGTATGGAGGTTGTTGAACTTACTTATGTGGCACTTGAGCCATTTTTTCAAACTTGACCTACAAAATGTTACGGCGACAGCATGCAGACAAAAGTGAGTAATAAACAAAGAATGAAGTTGAAGCTGCTTCACGATAACAAACAATAACATAAAATTTCTTGGGGTCATCTTCATTTAAAAACACTTTGCGAATCACTTATATCAAAACTGTCATCTTCAGTATAGCTATTTCGATTTCAAAAATCTGTTAAAAATCTGTTTGCATGACAGTTCCGTCGTTTTTCAGTGAATCCAATGTAATAGTCGAGGAGGATAAGGATAAAGATGGAAAGAAGAAAGTTTGGCAGGACAAGAAGGAGAGATGGGCCCATGATAGGTTCAGCGAGCAAGAACAAGGCCCCAAGACGAGGACAGAATTGATCGGTATCTATGGATACGATATCAGAAATGAAGACGGTCCACCAAGGGCGAGAAGGCGTAGAAGATATGGGTGAGTGGGGAAATTTCAATGCTTTTCAAGTAACTCTATTAATTGTGAATCGACACAGAACGTCAAAGTTACACTTTTGATGATAGTGATTGTATGCTGTGAACATTTATGATATATATCTAAGCTTGTATAGGAATCTAGGCTTTCACTGCTGGCGGCGTCAATGTTTTGGTTGGTTGTCGGGTTTTGCCTTGGTCTTCTTCAGTTACAATCTTCAAACGTTTCAACTGTAACTGCGGAAGTCTTCTTAGTGGCTTGGTCCAAGTACTCTTCTTGACTGGTCAACTGAAACAGTTGACACGTTTGAAGATTATAACCAAAAAAGATCACGACGAAACCCGAAAACTAACTATACCAAGCTTGTTTACAATTCGCAATAATACAGCTAGTTTTTTATTGTTTTTGAAAATATCACAATATGTGAAGTCTAGGGAAAAAGTTATAGTACCAGTTTCAAATTTACTATGGTCCTGAGTAAAAAATTGAATGGAAAGGTGCAAAATATTAATTAATTGGGTATTTTGGAATCCATCCAAAATGCTAGATAGAGTAATATTTGATAAGATAATATCAATATCTAGAGTATATAGAAATAGATTTATTACAAATAGATGTCCTGATACACATGAAGCACATTNATTAGATTTCGCCACAGGAATTATAAAAGACATGAAAAAAATTAATTTTGTTAATGATGCAAGTTTGCTCTTCTCATATAAAAATTTATTAATCTATTGGATATTACAAATTAATACATAAGAGAAGATTGGAGGTGGATTATATTTGAAAAAATATTTGTTTTTCAAAATCAGAAACCAATTTTTTTTAATTGTATGAAAAAAGTTACTGAAATTTGCATTAAATTATCTTGAATTTGTGAAAATATTTGGGAATAAACAAAAAACTAAGTAATTCAGTTATTAGTTCGTTTGTTCATTAGTTGTTTGTCGAAGTACAGATGATTACCATATTGATAAATATAAATCAAAGTGAATCATGTAGGTTTGAGAAAATAAATGTAATACGATAGAAGTAAATTTTCTGTTATATTTCTTTTGAAAATCAAAATTGAATTTGAGCTACACAGAACGACACAGTTTTAACTGTGTATAATTTTCAACATACAAACGTTATACCAAGGTTACATAAGTGCGATAAAGTATAATTATTATCCCTGCCTGAAGTATGTTTTCATGTACTCTGACATTGTTTTTTTTTTAACTATTTCAATGCTACTTTTTTCCAAAGAGTACAATGAAAATGATCAAATGATGGTATGAATATAGAAGTGTCAATGTCTAATCCTTTCAGTCGTGGCCCCAATAAATACACACGTAACTGGGAAGACGAAGACGCTTACAACAAACCTCAACCGATTGTGCATCGCCCCAAGAAGACAAGACCCGGCAAGGAATCGGAGGAATTCCCCCCTCTCGTGAGAGAATCAACTTCAGAGCCCTCTGCTGAGACGGAAAGTAATGAAAACAGGGAACAAGCGGAACAAGTGAGGAAGACTGAAGAAAGGTTTGTGAAATCATCGACTACAGAACATACAATCGCATTGATTAAACTTTGGTTTCAGAACTGAGCCTCCCAAGGAACAACCTGTACCTCAAACGCAGATCCCTAATGAGCGTGTTCAACCCGTCACTAATAATGCTCAAGAGCAGCAAAGCAACAAAAACAGCCAGCAGCGTATCGGATCCGGTAGGGTTATCAAACCCACGGCCATCAATGGGTTCACTTCTAGAACTGCCGACATTAGAAAGTACAACGTGAAACAGGAACAGGTGAAGATCCTTCCTAATCAAAATCAGGCCAAGGGTGACTTTATCCAATCGCAAAATTTCACCAACAAGAAGAACCTGCAAGATTTGGAGAGGGAGATGAACAAGCTGAGCGTGGACGGAGTCTACAAGGGTAGTGGAAATACAAAGAAGGTAATACCATTTTAGGATATAATAAAAAATAGACACATAATAAAACAGTCATAGAAATGTACGATTTTTTCACACAAAAATCTGTCACAATAATTATATCTCCGGTGAATACCGAGGCTTGCGAATAAAAATCACTCAGACATTGATGTATCTAGCTCTCGAACTATCGAAGAGTGTAATACATTGCAATGACAGTTAGAAAATATACATAATCAGTGTGAAGTTAACAAACTATATCTCAATGCATCCAAATGTAAAGTAGTGTCTTATAGTAGGAAAATATCAGTAATCGACTACAATTATCAAATAGATACCATTCCACTGTCACCAAATAACTCAATTGAAGATGTTAGTGTATATTTTGATCGAAATTTGTTTTTTTCCAACCACATTAGATCGAAAGTAAGTAAAGCATTGAGAGTTCATGGCTTTATAGTTCGCAATTGTAGATCGTTGTCAAACATATCTGCTCTACTTATTCTTTATGTAGCCTACGTAAGGTCAAAATCAGAATATGGCTCTGTTCTATGGTGTCCATTCTACAATTGTTATAACACATTAATTGAAAAAGTTCAACGTTGTTTCCTAAAGTTTACTTACTTCAAATCTTATGGCATCTATCCTGATAGAGGTATTCCATATGAATCTCTTACCATAACATGCAATATTGAAAGTCTTGAATCACGCAGAAAACTTGCTGGAATAATTTTTCTATATAAATTACTGCACAACAATGTGGATGCTATGGAGGTGTTATCTCTTATACATTTATGTGTGCCTCATTTTAGAACTAGAAGTACAAAAACTTTTTACAGCCGACTGACCAGAACCAATTTGTACCTCAAGTCACCTATCTTTAGCATTCGCAATAACTTCAATTTAATTTCAAATTTGTGTGATATCAATTTTGATTCCCTAGAATATATNAAGAATGTAAAGATAGTTTCAATTAGTGCATCATCAACTTCAACTTTATCTTAACTTTCCCAAAAATTCTTGACTGTTTGTAATAAGGAAATTCGAACATTTCGATGTATATAATGAGAGAGCAAGAGAAAGAGAAGGGTTTCTTTCAGAACGTATGAGTTTCTGGAGTCCAGGTTGAACCTTGTGCCTTGATTTTTTCGTTGTTCGAGTAATGACACGTGTTTAGAGTTTTGTGACTTGGCGCCGGTGTCTCAGTCTGCCTAATCCATGGATAATGACACACCTTTAGGGTTTTGGGACTTGACGCCAGGGTTTCAATCTACCTACTTCTCAGGGAATAACACACTTTTAGGATTCTGTGACTTGACCCTGGGGTCTCAATCTGCCTACTCTTCAGGTAATGACACACATCTTGAAGATATACGCCGCTTGCGAGAAGCAAGCGGCATATATCTTCAAGAAAACATCTGGTATTGTGGAAAAACAATTCACGATAATGTACCACCTCACTCGTCATTGCTTGTTCGGAAACAATACCTTGATCATGCTTCAGCCACCGTATTCACCAGATTTGAACCCCTGTGACTTTTTTTTGTTCCCAAGATTGGAGATACTCATGAAAGGTCGGCGTTTTGCGACAATTGAGGAGATAAAAACAGAATAGCTAAGAGAGTTCAAAGACATACCAAAAAGTGTACGTTAGAACTGTTTCGAGGGTTGGAGGGTTATATCTGAGGGGAATTACTTCGAAGGGGACAAAATAAAAATGGATTAAGGAATACTTAGCTCGTAGGGCGCTAAGTGAAGTTGTTGAGAACATTACAAAAACTAAGTATGTGGTGGATCTCTTCAAAATAAACAACTTTTTCCTATAAAATGTTTAACGAAGAATGAGTCGTTTTCGAAATACATGTTATTGAAATTTTTCCAAACATGGTAGGTTTTTGTCATAAGTTTTTTGCAATTTTAGTAATTTTCATCAAACTTTATATGCAGTATACCCGTACAGACTTCTTCTAAACTGAGCATTATCGAACTGCTTATTCAATCCAAATTTAAAAAAGAACANTGTGTTGCAAAAAATCAAAACCTGTCTGTGTATAAGTGTCTACTGTTGAGTGCCTAATTTTAACGTGTTTTAGTGGTTTTAATTTGAATAAAAATTGCAAGTTCTTCCACAACATCTCATCTAAATAAACATTACCAAGTAGTGCAACGAAAACTAGTGAAATGAACAGTAGCACGGTGAATAATTGAACATAATCAATACTTACATTCAAATTATTGGTTCCATTTTAAATAAGTGGCAAAAACTAGTGGAAAAACTAAAAAATTTGTGCCGTCTTGGGGATCTGCTTCCTTCATTCTGTGGCTACTAAAATGATTATGGAGGTTACCACCAATTGCATAAAATGCAGCACTGAAACCGCCACGAATGGATATCCTTGCAACTTATGCACAAAAATAATATGCAGAAATTGTTCAACTCTGTCGTCTACCGACTTGCAAGTTATTTTATTAGCAGAAACAGTTGTTCTATTCTTCTGCCCCGATTGTACGAAAAGTATCGTTAAAAATCCCCAACTAGAAGAAACTATTGATAGGTTTCGAGTGGGAGTGGAGAACTATAAAAGAGATATCATATATAAAAATATGTGTTTACAATTATTCCTCGAAATGAATTTTTGCAAGCCAAGGAAGTCGGGGATGAATGAACCTGCGTATAATGGAATTTGGCTGAATTCTATTGTGGATCCGTCAACATATTCAGGTGAAAAAAAGGTAGTCAGTCTAAATCCCGCTGCAAAGCCATTTTGTCATGAAATGGAGCACAGCTCCATCGTGAATGTTCAAAACGAATATGAAGTACCATCTTCACCATCTTCACTTAGTATTGGACTTACATCTAGCGAAGCTGGTCTAAACCAAACTCCACCTAGTTCAGCCTTGGAAAGCAGAAATGAATCGCACAGGTCGCATAATTTGATGGTCTTCAATCTGCCAGAGTCTTCAGCTACCAGCCTTATGGAAAGGATAGAGTTTGATATGAGGGAAATTGAGGAAATAATTGAGTTCTTGGGTGTGTCGGCGTACGTTTGTAAAGTGTACAGGATTGGGAGATTTACAGGTATCAGAACTAGGCCGGTAGTGGCGGTTTTGTCTAGCGAGAGGGAGGTTATAGAAGCAGTGAAAAATAGGAAAAAACTGAGGAATACTCACCACTATATGGTTCGGTTGGGCTCAGATAAATCCAGAAAGCAAAGGGATAATCTGAATGGTAGGTGGGGAACGGTTCCAAATTTTTCAAACTTGAATACAAATCACATTCTCTTTCTGAAAATAGGTTTCTCGGTGTAGTTATAAATCGAGAGCACAACTTCAAGAGTCTATTAAATAAAATTTCATTGTCGGGAAATTGAAAAACGTGGTTTCATATTTACAAATGACGAAAAACTTACGATGTGCAATCTTAATAATAATAACAATTTATTTTTCCCAAGAAACATGCAATGTTATAATGATAATATTTATTTGGTAAGCAGGATACATTCCTAATATACAATAACGAAATTGTAACTAACAAATAATTGATTAATACTCCAAAAATCATGACTTATCATCTTATTAGTAATACCTTCAGTTACATTTGTTATAAATATGATGCAGTAGATCAGTTTTAAACCTTTTTAAAGTTGAAGCTGANATTCCTGTTACTCTCATTTTTTCAAAAACATCATTACACTTTGATTATATATTTGCTTAATTTTTCACTCTTGTCTATAAACTTAACTCAAAAGTTCAATGATCATTATATCAGAGTAGAGGTACCTAACCTCCAATCTTTGTTTATACACTTGTCAGAATAATGTTTTTATATGTTTTGGTTCTTTACTTGTTGGGACCGTTCCAGAACTGTTCTGCGCATTGATTCGGCGTCGATACGGGACGGTTCAATAACAGTTCGAAATACAGAACCAAAACAAACCTTATGTAAGTATATATTTGTAAATGCCACTGTTACTCCCTATTTTGTAATTGCGTTCATCCTGTAGAATAGTGTATGAAATAAATAAATAAATAAATGTTGAAATAATAAAAATAAAACCACAATTCCTCGTTTTTTTTATACTTTTTCAATTATTTCATGGAGATAAAAACAAATGTCATTTTTGAAGCGAAGTTTTTTTGTAGACCTGTGTTATTACTATCATTATATTTTCCCTCTTTCAGATTACAGCCAGCAGTCACCCCCGGTAGCGGCCGTCACCCAACCGCTTATCCAGCAACCCGCCCAGATAATCCCCGCCACCACTACGCAAGTACCCCAGATGGCTACGCTTCAGCCGATCCCGCAGCAGGTTCCCGTCCCCAACGCCTTCCCCCACGCGTACCCTCCGCCTCCGCCTACATTCTTGCAGTCGGGTTACGCGGCCCCCACGTACCTCACACCGCAAGTGCCCCAGGGCCTCAGCTATGTCCAAGGGCAGGCCGCGTACACGCCTAACTACCAGAGCTATCCCCCTCAGCAATTCAATCCGGCGGTAAGTTTGATTTTGGATTGGGATGCGGTCAGCAGCATGGCGGAGTGTGACGGCAAGATTTGGGGTGTGGGGAGCTTGATGAATAGGGTTTGATTTGTTTTTTTTTTATTATAGTTTCGTGGTAGGGTTTGTGACGGAATTTTTTTGATTAGATGATTGCTCGGGAGGGTGCCTTAAGGTGATTTTTTAACGAGTCAATTCTACAAGTGAACCTCACCAACAGATCATTTTTATACAATCTACCTTTGTCTCACTTTCCCTGATCTGCTCTCCCCCCTCTACTCACTTTTCTAATTCCTCAATACTCCTCTTTCTGTTCTTCTATTACCTCTTTAATCTTTTATATCCATTCTTTACTCTTCTCTCTACTTTTTCTTTTCTTTCTCTCCCTTTTTTTTCACTTCCAACTAACTTTTTCCCTCTTCACTTTTTCCTGCCCCCTCCCCTACTTTTTCTTGTCCCCCTGTTTTTTCCTCTCTGTTTTTTACTGGGTCCTTATTCTCTCTCTTTCTATAAGCTCTTTTTACTCTCTTTTCTTTCTTTACTTGTTCTCTCTTCTGTGTCTCTCTTCTTTACCCTACACTGGTTATTTTTTACCATGGAAAAAGCTTCGGGCTGGTGGGCTTATTACATTATCAAAAATCTGTTCTACGCTTATGGAAGTTGAAGTATCTCCATCTTTGGCAGACTAAGATAGATAAAAATGTGACTAGTACCATCCACNAGGATCTATTTTGGATCCATTTTCTTTTCATTACGTAAATTTTTTTTCAAAGTGATTGTTGAATAATCATTTTATTTGCTTGTTGCATCTTGAGCATTAAAATGACTACCAGTTAACCGTTCAAGTCATCTCGTTCTCCAATAGTAATAAAGCTACCAATTCAGATTAGCCTGCATTCTGTGTTCTGTGGTTGGCTTTTCAATGTATTTAATGGCAGCACGTCGATCCTAACCTCAAGACTTGCATGAACTTTACTAACAATTCAAGATAAAAAATCTCGACCCCTGCTGTAAGTATTACTTACTGCCAAAACGATCGATAGATGGCGTGTATTACGTGTGAGTAACAATTTCAGACCCCGCCGACAGAATTGTACCAACCGCAAGGCGGCATAACTTACTATTCAACCGACCAACAGCTAGCTCAACGACAGGCACCCCAGAAGCGTCCAAAGGCTGCGATACCGATAGTTGCCCCACCTGGACAAGAGAAAAAAACTGACGACACAAATTATCAACAAAATGAAACCGTCGAAGCGAGAGAGACTAACGAACCTGTCGAAGCGCAGCAATGATGAATAGGTATGGTTCGCTTCTTGTTTTGCTTAGTTTCTTGGACGTTTCTGGACTCTGAAAAGCACCAAGGAGTCTCTTTGTTTGTGGCAGGATTTGAACTTTTCAAATTAGAATCGTTCATTTCTTTTCTTATCAACCTCAGTAATGTGTTGTTCTTGAAGCGGGTCTTCACATGTCACCCTGTTTGACCAACATACTTTTTATGTTTGTAAGTCAGAGCGATTCTCATAAACCTAATCTTATTCAGTATCCACCATTCTTCTAAGATGAGAGAAGTTGATATATATGAAAAATACGTCGAAACATGAATATCTGATAAGGTCTTTTGCTCTTCATTTGTCTTAATTTTAAAACTCCTCATGCAGTTGTCATGAAAAATGAATAGCAGATTTGTATCAACTTTTTTAATGTCGTCTGAAGCAGTTTTGATGAGAAAGCGATTATTTTTGGTGAGTTAAAATTTTGTCCATGAATTCGTGTACATTATTGTGTACGTTATAGTTTGGGGATTTTGTCACTTGGGAATGAATAAGGTGTACTAAACGATACTAGAATCTTCCATTCCCCGAATTTTTTATCTTCAATTTGTTAGTGAGCCAATGGAAATTTGAATGCAAAAGCTTTGTTATGAAGATTCTTTGATCGTTTTGTTTGTTATTTCAGTAAAATTTATTTTTGAGATGAGTGGCCATACAGGTTTTTTTTTTATTTTGATGGGTACGTGTGTTAGTTTGTTCGTTGTTCTGTGTTTCCACTAACCTGATATTAAGAAGGTTTTCAAAATGGAAAATAGGATACATAACCTAAATGAAGTTATGTGTAATCCTATACCTATCTCTATCTGTTTTCGAGATAAAAAATAAATTGTGCTAAATGTGGTCCAAAACATAGCCTTAATTGAAATTAAGTACATCAGTATTCTCTATTCATGAAAAGTTGATATTTCGATGATAGTTTAGACACACTCGAAATATTCAAATTACACCAAGAAATCGACTCCATATCATACAGGGCGTGCTAAAATTACTATTATTTCCATTGTGCATAAAAGTAGTCAAAAGTTAATTTCTTCAAATGAAACCCCATGTATATTACTCGGTAAATTGAAAGATGGTGAAAAATTCTTCAAAATGATATATCATGTCCCTATACCTAAATCGTCAAGTTTTCTCAATAAAGTTGCTAGGACTTTTTGATGGAAGTGGCAATGCCGCAATGCTGAAAATATTTTAGATCGATAGAACAGGTAAGGAAATGTGAGAGGTGAAATTTTCAGAAAAATCATGCTTTGCGTCTTCCAGAAACGTCTAACCTACCATCGACCGTGAGTCACGCTGTATATATAAATGAAAATTTACTGATGACCAATATATTCGTGCTGTCTAGTAATCATGTAAAATAATGTTACAGAGTGGGCCATCATTTTACGCCGACCATTAGTAAGATATCAAAGCAGACAACATGTGGATGGATTATAACAACGCAAACAGTGCGAAAGGTTTTGGCTGATAATTGCGAGCTTTTTTCTTATTCTAAAAGTTGGAGTGCCGGGTTGCATCTTGGTCTTGACGCGGGGGTATGATTCTGGCCTTTCCAAAATTGATTGCTTTTCGTGCACTCCCCGATGAGATGTTTTTATGGTGAGATTTGCCGCAAGAAGACCTTCATCAAAATCTAGAAATGTTGGAAGTAGTTTTTTATTATATAGGGAGTCTTTATTGTATCTGTTGATTCATTCGTGACTATTTACAAATATACATTTGTATCTTTTCAATATTTAATGAGCGAATCTATTTTAATTAGGTTTTTCAAAGTTTTAGCGAATTTGACGAAATATCTTGACAGTTGAAATATTCCTTTGATCTTACTGCTTTCATTTATACTTATAAACAAGAGGACTATTTTGATGCTGATATAATTTGTAATTTAACACGTTCTTTATCCTAAGCTGTACCGCTAGAAAGATAGTTATCACTTTTTTTTCTCAAAATGTATTTAAAATTTTGAAAATACTCTTCGGACATGATTTCGCGTCATTATCTATACTTTTTTTGGGCGAATTCAGCATGTGATAACACCAAGAATGGGTGGAGGAATGATAGGAAATAATCGTAATTGTCATACTCTTGGCAAGCTTTCTTGGTTATATACATTATATTTGATATGTAAATTATTTATTTCAAATACATATTATATGGTCAAACCATTTCAAAAACTGAGTTTTTTTTGTTCAGGATGTGAGAGGTGGTGAATATTACCGAGGACAGACATACGTAGAAGAAAATTAATATTTCGAAATAAATTTCAAAACATCAATCTCTCCCAACTAGCTAAGCAGTAGGCCATATTATAGTGTTTTTTTGATACGTTATTGTATATTGGAAATCAAAATAAGTATAGTACTCAGAAGATGAATCTTTCGAAAAAAAAATTCTAAGCTTTCATGTCTCGCAACGTCACACTTGAGGAGGTTATAATAAAAAATCAAGCTAATCTTATCAATTGATTTTGTTTCATGGCAGGAAGAAGCGCGTGTAGAAAAGCGAGAGAGTGTTGATAAGTTATCTATTTAGTTCTAGTGAACAACTCATCATAGAAAGTAACGCCATCTCTTAGCAACAAGCAGAAATACCCTATGATTTTTGTAGAGAATATAAAAGGAGTGCGTCGGCGTGACGTTATGTGAGTCTGTTGCGTCGAGTAATCGAAGCGATACGGTCGGATAATGATTCTAGTTGTGCTGCGAAGTAGTAATTGTAAAGTGCATTTGTTTGTGTCGTGCGCTTACGATATCCATATCCATTGTATCGAGTTCTATAATTGTTACGATTTTGGCATAATGTTACAAAAACTTGAAGCTCGTTAGTCAGCTCGCACAAGTTTCAACTTCTGAGGGTTGTCGTTCGTAGGGGTGCGACTGCTGGTTAACGGAAAAACTGATTTTAAACAGATTTGTTTTCAGGAATCATTGGCATCCAAGCATTTAAAAATGGACCATGCAACCTATAATTGAAATAGTAAATTTTATAAGTTGCAGAGCACTAAATCACCGACAGTTTTTATAAGATTTGAATGAAAAGTTTTCTGATGTCCATTATTTCACCGAAGTTCGTTGGCTCAGTCGAGGAGTAGTTTTTAGTGCACGTTTGGTAGTACCTTTGTATATGAGCAGATGTTTTCTGTCATGAAAATAAATAAGAATAAACATCGCTGTAGACTTAGGAATGAACACTTCCAATCAATTCTTAAAATAATTTCAACGAATATGATACCTGACATCAATGAGCTTGTCAAAAACAAGAGAAGTCATCCTCGAGCTCAAAATGATAACCCTCTTCATAACTTTGATATGATTTTTAACAACCGTATATTCTACAGATACAGTGAGTAACCAATGGAAAATAATTCAAAATACAGCTGAAAAATTATTTATTGTGAAATGCAAATGAAACAATTCAAACATGAGACCATTTTTCTTCTAAAATTCCAGATGTTATGTAATTTGGGAGCCTTTTGCTTCAGAATAGTAAAAATAGGAGTAATGATCTATATTTATAGATTTGACTATTAATTTCTTTACGTTTTTTGGGTTATCAGCCTTTCACAATCTGTAAAATACATCCAGATCTACAAAGAATCTTCTCAAGTTCAATAAAGGACAAGCTGAAAATGTAAAGTTACTGCCTAATATGTTGATCTACAGTTATTAATTTCAAATTCTTCTGACTTCTTCACACAAAAAGGTTTTAAGTATCAAGTTGGCAATACAAAAAATAACTAAAGTATGTCAAGATGCATAGAATATACCTGGAATGTCCCTGGCTGGATAGCCCTGGCAGCTGAAGCCATTAATGGAAAAAGAAGAAAAGATACCTGGAATGATTATTAGATCCACAGAACTATAACTTAGTTATAAGTTATAGTTCTGTGATAGACCCCTTTTCCATGTGAAATATTTTGTCAAAAATACGATCCAATAAGTTTCACCATTCTGTTCACAGAGGGAGTGACTATACAACAAGTGACTACCTGACAAAGTCAAGTTGGCACTTCAATTTTCAATGTAGCTGAAAGATTTGTTTGCACTATGGGTCATAAATTGAAGATCTGAATAAGAGAGCCATTGATTTCAAAATAAACCCTTCAAAAAATGAGTAGACCATGCAATCTTTGATCTTCAACCTACCATTAGTACAAATCGAATGCGATGTTTTGAAAACGCCTAAAAGAGGCGTGTTGAAGCGTAAATTAGTCATCTACGCTTGTAAAAGTCATAGCCTCTAATAAAATCTTAAAACACCAGTTTTTCTATGCATCTCTTGGTCATACAGTATGAAAAGACGTACATTATTCCTCTCGTCCTCAACGTCGATTGTCCACCACAACCTTCATCAAGCCTTGGCCAAAATCATCTCCCTCACCTGCTGCGTCAACCATTCAACCCCTTCATGCAGCCCCTCACCCGTTAGCGCGTTGCTCGCCGATATGTGCCAAGGTTTGTCCATGATTTTATCCAAGCCCAGGGCCGCGGCTATCTTAACGCTGCTAAGGGCCTCTTTGCTATCCATTTTGTTGGCGAAGAAGAGGATGGGCAGCTTTCTGTGACATATATCCGGATGTTGCAGAAGGAGATTAAGTTCCTCTTTCACCACCACTAGCCTGAGGCGGTCGCTGCTGTCGATCACGAAGATGATGCCGTTGCAGTCTTTGTAGTAGTGTTCCCAGAGGTCTCTGTAGCGGCCGTGACCGGACATGTCGAATGCTGTGAAGGACAGGCTTTTATCTGGAAGTAAAGATGATGCGTGTTCATATCGGTTTACTTAATTTAGATAATAACAAGCCCCTTCTGGAAGGAGAACAGCTAAAATTTCGGATAGGCCACACTCTCCGATTTTGAAGAACTATAATTTTCACTGGTAGATTAGGAAACCGAAAAAAAATCGGTACTCCCCATTGTTACAGCCCTCGAAAATTAAAACTTCTCAGCTTTCTTTGGCACAATACTAACGATGGAAAAACGCAAGTGTGTATTCACCAACTCCTTCACATTTTATTTCAACTTCTTCTAGATACTTTTAAGTTCAATAATCAACTCTGGAAACAAGGAAGAACGCAATTTTTTTTTTAATTTGTGAACCCGAATTTTTTTCAAATTTGGAGAGTGCAGCTCGTGAGTGCAGCCTATTCAAAATTACACCGGAGGCTGTTATGAGAACAATGACAACGAACAAACCTAGGTTGACGAACAACGAACAGACCAAGGTTGACGACAGACGAGTAATTGTCAACGAAAATGTTAATCAAGAGATAGGTGATACTGTAGAAAATGTATTAGATACATTAGGAGTGGAAAACATGAATAAACTGTAGAAAATGTACTAGATAAAATACTTAGCGAGATGAACGCTACTGATATAGAAATAATAATAAAACCAAGTGAATGTAAAGAGGTAGAAAGTGTTCATTATGACAAAAACAATGAAAACACAAGCAACGAATCTAGTAGCACCTCTACAAGTGATTCAGATTCTGAGATGAAATTTTTAATGAAAAATAAAATATATAAAAAAGGCAGAAAAATAATGAAGTCTCAGGAATTGAATTCCATTTAGCGTTAGTAGTAAGTTAGTTTTGTAAAAATAGAGGATGTTATGAGAACTAAGACAACGAACATACCAACGAACAGACAACCGGTAAAGTTTCTCCGACAAATATTCCTATAAATGAAGCGCAAAGGAGCGTAATTCCAGGGCTTTATCATCTCGTAATTCATGATTATATCTAGACACTCTGGGTATTTTCCCTCTGGCGGAAAAGAATAGATATAGTACTCACTTTGAAATCGCTCAACCGAAAAGCCAACCGTTGGAACAATATCTGCAACCCTTTCTTCTTCATTTTTAAATCTATTCACTACAGTCGTTTTTCCACTGTTGTTGAGTCCAACAACGAGAACATTAACTTCTCTCTTTTTGACACCCAAGAAATGCGCTAACTTTTGGAAAAGGCCCATATTATCACCAAAGAATTATTTCCGAATCAATAAACATCAAGTGTTCATGGCAAATTTGTTTTATTTACCATTTTGAGAAGGATATCTGCAGGTTGTATATACTGAAAGAGTTGTCATGACAACCTAAAGACAGTTGTAGTTGAACGCGCATTCACAGTTTTCGTATAGGAATGCATAATTTATACTTATTTGGTATTCGAAAATTGTAACTAGTTGACTTGTTCCCTGAATCGGTAGTTCACTGTTCCTATCGTTTTCGAAGAATAGCTAACAGTGAAAACTATTATACGGGGATAAAAAGTTTTATGCTGTGGAGTTCTAAACGGATTTTTTATCAGTGTTATTGCTCACAATTTGCAAAAAATCCTAAACTTTGGAAGTCTTTTTACGTTAAATCGCCCTTATCGGATAAATATTTTTTGTAGTACATTAATTTCTCCTCAATTGGCTACGCCACCTAAATTTCTATTCGTGTTCTGTGCAGAAACAAATTTTGTTATTGCACTGTACCACAGAACACTAACAAATTTTATGTTCCGTGACCATTAACCATAAATATATTCAAATCGTTATTTTCCACAAATAGTTGCAGAATACGAAAAGAGATGAAAGTTGATATAAGGGATTATTCAGTGTTGAAAAGTCACTGAGTCAATAAGATTTTCATATTTTTTAGAAAATGGTACTCATATATGTGAAATACTCAACAATTACGAAACCTATTTGGATTAGGGAGTTTTCTGTATTTGGGTATTCAAATACTCCAAATCCACAGTTGTCATTTGCCAATTGTCACTTTCAACAATACAAAATCATCGAATGTATTTTGATGTTTGGTTCGCCAGTTTTCAGGAAACCGTGTTCTATAGCTAACCAAAATTTCAGTAAATTCATAACAGCGGTGATTTTATAAACACCAAATCACATTTCTAATAAACATATTATTTCGTATATACATGACTTGTATATTGTATACAGTGATATCATAATATAGACTGGCCATTGAAGAAAGAACACTGATTCCAACAACTGAAAAAGTCAAAGAGATTTACGTTTTGGTTAGGGTTTCCATTTCGAAATGAGAGATGAATAGCTTTAAACCAGTACACACCTTCATTTCGGAGTTCTGAAGGCTGCCTTAAAAGTCTCATCAGCGACGGAAGTTATTCAAGGTCAAAGGACACAAATATCAGTTTAAATGAAGAACATTAAATTTGCGACAAATTTTTTTCGAAACTTGTTTTCCATACGCCAGAAGGTTTTTGAGATAAAGGACGAAGAACTATTGAACAAAATCCATGAAGCTATTACTCACGCCAAAAACGATTACTATATATCGTTGACTCCATCGTATTTTCCGAACAATCCAAACGCACATAACATCCCATTTCCTGCATTGTCGCCTTTGTGTCAAAGTTACATGTTTGTCATACTATCATAAGGTGTTTTCTGGCGCTCATGTATTCAAAACGTATTCGTTTATCTCCTCTGTCACTTACGGCCAGCCGAAGAGTGAGAGAGAGGTGGAGAGACGAATACGTTTTGAATACAAGAGCATCAGAAAACGCTATAGATCGTGTCTGTGCATGATCAGTGTCTGTGATCTGTGATAGCGAATGAGACTAGAATAAGAAGGCTGCACTCATCGACATGCCCGTAAGAGTTAGGATTCAAGTAGGAAATGAATTCGACGATTTCATGATGACTTCTGGTTTTGAGGAGTCTGATTACAACAATAACAGGAATAAAACTCTTGTGAAAAAAAGAAAAACCTACAAATCCAAATCGGATTGGAAACGGTGGTTTTCATGGATTGGAAATAACAATGGAAGGAAATTTTGTACAATTTGCGGTAATAGATATCTTAGTGGTAATGTAATACACCTCCAAAGATATGAAAACACATCATGAAAGTTTCTTGTGTACTGCAGGTGCTGCACTATATAGGAACCAAAGTGATAAGGAATATTACCACTTCTGATGAATTTCTACATTCTTGAAAATAATATTTCATTTTTATATTATGCATATATACTATTCTATTCTACTCTATTCTGTTCGATTCTATACCATTCTAATCCATTCAATTTCATTCCATTCTATTCCAGTCTATTCTATTCTATTTTATTCTGTTCTGTTAAAAAATCTGTTTTTTCCGTTAATCAGCTGTTGCCTCCATACGAACGACAACTCTCAGAAGTTGAGAAACTTGTGCGAGCTAAGGACTAACGAGGTTTTACCTTTTAACGTGTGATTTCTATTCCATTCCATTCTATTCTAATCTTTTCCATCATATTATATCATAATATACTCTTTTCTATTCTTCCTGTAGCAGAAGGCATATAATAATCCTTGTCGCGATGATAACAGGTCGTTGTTCCTGAATTCTTTTTATCCGAAGCAGCATTTCGGTTTGTGCTAAAGCTTCATACCTGCCCTGAAGCGAGAAGAGTCTAAACCATCTATAAATAACGGTCTAGCATACAGAAGAATACATTGAAGAGGAGATGGATAAATAGAGAAAACAAATTAACATGAAATAAATAGAGTACAATATTGTGTAAAACAAGACTCTTGTACTCCCTGGACAGTTTTCCTTACAGTCAACACTGTAATTAAAATAGAACTGGTCATAATAGCGCCAAACCTGAAACTGGTACCAAAAGTAAAAAGAAGAAAAGATGAAAGTGGTAGTATGGTGCTGGCAACATTGATCTATGATTGTATAAACGTCAATAATAAAGGAATAAGGAATATTGTCATTCTTATTCATATTTGTAATACAAGTTATTATACGTGCTTTGTGGTTATTATAAGATTGAAGACTTGAAGAATTTCATCAAGAAATACTGAGCATCAGGTAAGAAATAATCAATAAATGACATATTTTTTTATATATAACAAATTTGTGGTGTTATTGTGTTAAAGTGCTAAAACAGTGTGTGAATATAAAAATACTATGTCCAAATAGTCAGATTACAAACTTGATCAGAAAAAAAATTATTTGTTATAAGGTGGCGAATCGAAAAAGATAGGTACATGTATAGTTATTTTCCATAAGTTCACTCAATTCGATTTGATCTGAAAATAAGTACACATAAAGAGTTCAAGAAAACATGTTATGACATGTTTATCTCAGAGAAAATTTACGAAGAATATATTTAGAAGGTGTAAAAATACATTGGCATTATACTTATATATAAGGATCAAAAACACAATTCTTCATGACTTTGTGGAAATTCATCAACATAGTACTGTTGTTCTTTATAAAAAATAATGGTCGGTTTGGGATTTTTGCTCAAATCGCTTATGTTTTGGGTTGTTATTGCTAGTTGTGATAGTTCAAATGATCAAACAAGTGGTGGGTAAGTTCTTTGCCTTCTAAAGATGTCATTCTCTCGTGATGACAAATATTGTAGATCTGCTACTCAAATATAGCAGCCTAGTTAGGACAGCCAAGTTTTTTCAAATAGATATTTGTAGTTACGGCTCAAGAAGTTAATCATTCCAGCTATATTTGACTCATTGAAATCGTGAATCATCACAAGAAGTTTTTCTATTGTAGTTATTACTTTTTGTCATGAAACGATTTATCTTTTCATAAAATGCTTTTTTTTTTAAATATTTTATCATTATTCCATATGCTTACTAGCTGAATATTTGACTCACTTTTAGCAAGTCATTGCAAAATTTCGAGACATTGTACTGTAAACAATACCTCAAGTATTATATTTCTTTTTTGAATGATATTGAAGTTTAATGGATTCAGTCTTGATTGAAAACTATGGTTATGGTGTAGGTTCATATATTCCGTATAAGTTAATTTAATTTTTGAGCAGTTGCAAAGGTCAGCGTCGAGCTAGACTCTCATATTGTAGATCCGTAACAATATATTTGTGAAACTTATAGTAGTATTCAACATAACAATAGAAGTGCAGTTTTCATAGTTCCGAATTTATGCAATCCATAATGTGTATGTGTGTGAAATCATGATATTTGAATTCATCTACTTTGAAGCACTGCCGAACTGAAACTGAGTTAAAATTCTAAAATAATTTCAAGAAATTTCTAAAGCTTGTTATTTTATTTGAATTCTAATATTTCAATAATTAGATGGTTGAAAAGGATTTTATAAGTTCTACCGTCACTAAGATTTGAACCCATGCTATTCTGTACACCAGACCCAGTTTTTGCCATCTGCTTCTCGATCAATTGTGACATAAATGTTTGTTATTATTAAATGTGAAAATTGAAAGAGAATTTTCTTGATGAGCACATTATGCATTAATTCCATCGCACATAAGACATGAAATTGCTTTTTAGGGGGTATGCTATAAAAAATTGTAAAGGTTGTTGAAAAAAGGCATTACATCCATTTGAGAAATTAGTAATTGCTAAGTATATGACTGTATATTCATTTCAAAAACTGACTGCTTGTTCAATGTGATGTGACTCCAACTCAATTCCCAAATGTAGTCAAGATAGTTGACACTATGATTACAAAGGGCTCAAAATTTTATCCTTTCCTTGGTAAATATAATGAGAAATTATAGTGATTTTTTTTGACATTGATCTATGATTGTATAAACGTCAATAATAAAGGAATATTGTCATTCTTATTCATATTTGTAATACAAGTTATTATACGTGCTTTGTGGTTATTATAAGATTGAAGACTTGAAGAATTTCATCAAACCGGGGTTCGTCATCAACTCCTTTTCTATTTCTCATTATTATCCCTTCACTCGTCCATATTAACTCTTTATTCTCCTGTATATACTCTCTTTATTCTGTTTTTTATTTTATCTTCTCCTTTCCTTCTGAATTTTATTAACCTCATTCATACTCGTCTCTGACTTATACCTCTCTTCTACTTTGTTTCTGCTTCCATCCTCTCTCTTTACTTCCACTTCTTTAATTTTCCTTTATTCCCTCTTTTTTTAATGGAAACCGTTTCAGCCTCACGTAATTGTTGCATTATCAAATATTATTTCTACATGAAATGAAAATATGTATCTTATTTCTTTTTTGTTTTTTTTTTTCTCGTAATTCTTTTCATCACTTCTTTCTATTTTTCTTTACCATTATTTTTTCCTCTCCCTTCCGTGTCTCTTCTCTCCCATTTGCTCACCTGTTTTTTATCCCTCTTTTCTCTTCCTTCTCTTCTCTCTTCTATACTCTTTCTTGCCATTTGGAAGTTATCTATTTTCTGCGTAAAGAAAATGTATAGTTAATCGATATATTTGTTATTCGTCTATTTTAGCTATTCATTTTATAAGATTAATTTCCAGAATTGGGCTTTATTAATTATGTTTTATCTTATTTTTGGTTCAGTTTGCAGGAATTCTTCAGTG